CAAACTATTTCAAAAAATTCAAGAAGAAGGAAGACTTCCAAACACGTTCTATGAGGCCAGCATAATTCTAATTCCAAAACCAGAAAAAGACACTACGAAGAAAGAAAACTACAGGCCAATATCCCTGATGAACATAGACGCCAAAATCCTGAACAAAATATTAGCAAATCGGATCCAGAAATACATCAAAAAAATTATTCACCATGACCAAGTGGGATTCATTCCAGGGATGCAAGGCTGGTACAATATTCGCAAATCGATAAACGTGATACACCACATAAACAAAATGAAGAATAAAAACCACATGATCATATCAATAGATGCTGAAAAAGCATTCGACAAAATCCAGCATCCATTTCTGATAAAAACGCTCAGCAATGTAGGAATAGAGGGATCATATCTCGACATAATAAAGGCCATATATGAAAGACCTACAGCCAACATCATACTCAATCGACAGAAACTAAAAACATTTCCATTAAGAACAGGAACAAGACAGGGATGTCCACTTTCACCACTCTTATTTAACATTGTACTGGAAGTCTTAGCCACAGCAATCAGAAATGAAGAAAAAATAAAAGGGATCCAAATTGGAAAGGAGGAAGTGAAACTGTCATTATTTGCAGATGACATGATATTGTACATAGAAAACCCTAAAGACTCCATCAAAAATCTATTAGACTTAATAAATGAATTTGGCAAAGTAGCAGGATACAAAATTAACGTCAAGAAATCGACGGCATTCTTGTACACCAATGATGAACTCACAGAAAGAGAAACTGAAAAAACAATCCCATTTACCATCGCTCCAAAAAAATTACGATACCTAGGAATAAACTTAACCAAAGAAGTAAAGGACCTATTTGCAGAAAACTACAGGTCATTGAAAAAAGAAATAGAGGAAGATATAAAAAAGTGGAAGCACATACCCTGTTCATGGATTGGAAGAATTAACATCATTAAAATGTCCATACTACCCAAAGCAATCTATAGATTTAATGCAATCCCCATCAAAATACCAACGACATATTTCATAGAACTAGAACAAATACTTCAAAAGTTCATATGGAACCAAAAAAGACCCCGAATAGCCACAGCAATCTTGAAAAAGAAGAACAAAGTAGGTGGGATCACAATACCAGATATCAGGTTATACTACAAAGCGACTGTAACTAAAACAGCCTGGTACTGGCACAAGAACAGGCATATAGACCAGTGGAACAGAACTGAAAACCCAGAAATGGACCCAAGGCAATACGCTCAATTAATATTTGACAAAGGTGGCAAGAGCGTACAGTGGAGTAAAGACAGCCTCTTTAATAAATGGTGTTGGGAAAATTGGACAGCTACATGCAAAAAAATGAAACTAGACCACCAACTTACACCATACACCAAAATAAACTCAAAATGGATAAAAGACTTAAATGTGACCCGTGAATCCATAAAAATTCTAGAAGAAAATGTAGGCAACAAAATTTCAGACATCATACGGAGCAGAATTTTCACTGATACATCACCTAAGACAACAGAAATAAAGGAGAAAATGAACACATGGGACTACATCAAACTAAAAAGCTTCTGCACAGCAAAAGAAACAATCATCAAAATGGAAAGGCAACCCACTGTATGGGAGAACATCATTGCCAATGATGTATCAGATAAGGGGTTAATTTCCAATATATATAGAGTGCTCATACAACTCCACAAAAGGAAGACAAAGAACCCAATTAAAAAATGGGCAGAGGAGCTGAATAGACACCTCTCCAAACAAGACATACAAATGGCTAAGAGACATATGAAGAAATGCTCAACATCACTAATCATCAGAGAGATGCAAATTAAAACAACAATGAGGTATCACCTCACACCTGTCAGAATGGCCGCCATCAACAAATCATCAAACAACAAGTGTTGGCGAGGGTGTGGAGAAAAGGGGACTCTAATACACTGCTGGTGGGAATGCAGACTGGTGCAGCCCCTATGGAAAACAATATGGTGCTACCTCAAAAAATTAAAAATTGAACTTCCATTTGACCCAGTGATTCCACTGCTGGGAATATACCCTAAGAAGCCTGAAACACCAATCAGGAAGAATATATGTACCCCCATGTTCATAGCAGCACTATTTACAATAGCTAAAATCTGGAAACAGCCCAAGTGTCCACCCGTAGAGGAATGGATAAAAAAGGTGTGGTACATATACACAATGGAGTACTATGCAGCGGTAAGAAAGAAAGATCTCTTATCCTTTGAGACGACATGGAGGGACCTGGAAAGTATTATCCTAAGTGAAAGAAGCCAAGCAGAAAAAGACAAATACCACATGATCTCACTTATATACGGAATATAATGAACATAACAGTCTGAGGAATACAGTAGACCCAGACACATGGAAATAGGGCACAGACTGACATCCCTCAGAAGAGGGGGTGGGAGGGGTTGGGGGGTGGGAAGAGATAAACCACAGAACTTATATGCATGTATGCATGACCAATGGACATGGACAACTAAGCAGGGGACGGGGGGGTGGGGTGGGGGGTGCCAATGGGGTAAAAAGGTAAAATGTCTGTAACAAAAAAATAAATAAAAATTCATAAAAAAAAAAAAAAAAAAAAAAAGTCAATGGAAAAATATCTTCAGCTGAGGATTAACAACAACAAAAAATACACACACCCAAACAAAATGATGGCAGATGTGTTTGACAGAAAATGTACAGTTTTAATTACATGCAATAAAAGATACGTGAAAACATTCTGAGGGATTACATTCACCTAAAAGTAACAGAAAATACCCAGTATTCTTGTCAGGAGGAAGGTACTTACTGTCCCACTGAAAGACCAGGTCAAGCCAACCACTGCACATTGAAGTAGAGAAACAAACTCCATGTTCTTTTCTTCCATGCGCTATGGTAAATGTCATGGCAAAGCAACGAAACACACCACGCAGCACTGTTAACAGCGTTAAGATGTTTCCTATACAAAACAGATCTATACAGCCCTGGCCGGTTTGGCTCAGCGGTTAGAGCGTCGGCCTGCAGTCCTGAGAGACCCGGTTCGGTTCCCGCTAAGGGCATGTACCTCGGTTGCAGTTTGTCCCCGGCCCTGGTTGGGTCGTGTGGGTGGCAACCACTCGACGTGTCCCTTTCACATCGATGTTTCTCTCTCTCTCTCCCTCCCACACTCTATCTGAACAAAAAATGTCCTCAGGTGAGGATTAAAAAAAAACAAAACAAACAGATCTATACAACCCGGTCAGTGTGGCTCAGTGGTTGAGTGTCACCCCTTGCACCAGGAGGTCGCTGATTCGATTCCCGATCAGAGCACATGCCCAGGTTGTGGGCCAGATTCCCAGTGGGGGGCATGCAGGAGGTGCAATCGATGTTCTCTCTCATCGATGTTTCCATCTTTCTCCCTCTCCCTTCCTCTCTCTCTCAAATCAAAAAAGAGAAAATATATTTTTTAAAAATATTTTTTAAAAAACCAAACAGATCTATACAGATATAACCTAGGGAAGAAAACAGTCAGACAGTAGTCCCATGTATGAGAAGCTACACTAGTTTACTGGTGAACAAAAGACAGCTTACAGAAAAAGGCACTCTAATGGATCTTTGATGTGAATCATGGGAAGAAATCACTGGAAAACTACACCTCTAAGAAAATGCAGATCAAACAGATCACAGTTGTTTTGAAGATACTCTTGACTGAAAAGGAAAATGGTGTCCCATGTTAAAGCCCCTACGTATCATTCTATCTCCCTTTGTGTTGGCTCCACAATCTACTAATACCCAGTACAAATACACAATCTATTAATGCTGTTTTTGCTTATGCCCTCCATATCTCATGCAAGTGAGGCTGCTGGTAAAGGCTAATATGGAATCTCAGAGAATATAAATCCCGGAAAACCTAATTCCTAACATTACCTACAAAAAAATATTTCCAAACGTAGATTTTTGGTCATATCACAGGTCTCTCCTCTTAAATCAAAATATATCTAATATGCCAGTCAAAAAAAGAAAAAAAAGAAAAAAAAAAAAGAAAAGGCACAAGATCAAATAATAAAGTAACAATTCACATGGAAATAAATTCTTTCATAAAATTGACTCACATAAATATTTACTCCAACTGTTTACTGCTAAGGAATGTGGGGAAGAAACTCTTATGCCCATCATCCCCACCAAAAAAGCATTGTCAATAATAAAGGGGGATATATATGATGTATATATAGCATACAAACTCCATATATAATGCATGAGGAATATCCATCAAATTTCACAAGGCCAGTCAAAAATTCCAAACACCAAAATAAAAAATACCGATTATAATTTTTTAATGCCACCTTAACACGAAACAAAACATCATTAAAAAACACATAATTCCATATTAGAAATACATTGGAATTCACACTTTGGATCTAACAGACTTCAAAAAGTCAATAGACAATATTACTGACTTAATAAAAAAAATCACCAATTATTAATGATATGTACTACTGCTGAAAGACATGTCCCAGAATTATCTCACTGTAATATTAATTTCTGAAAGAAATTACAGTTGACCCTTGAACAACACAGGTTTGGACTGCAAGCGTTCACTTTTAAGCAGCAGTTCAAACACTTGTTTTTAAAGGGTAAACTGTCATTTCAACTTGTGGCTGGGAAACCACACAGAGGACTGACTTAAATTCTACAAAGAATTTCTAATACATGGGTGGCTGGCGCCCTTAATCCCTGAGTTGTTCAAAGGTCAACACTAATAGAAATCCACATCCCCAGAACACACTTAAAGAAAGAAACTTAGTAAACAAAATTATTTACAATGTTAAAAACAACTCTGTAACCCTGAAAGTTTTCTGGAACATTATATATAAAATAATTTCCATCAAGCCCTATCAGGTTATTTATATTTTTATTCCTTTCAGTGGGAGTTTTCAAATATAAAGTTGTGGGCCAACTAAAATCTTTCCCACAATTTTTACATTTATGAGGTTTTATCCAATGAGTCCTCTGATGTCTCCGGAAAGAAGAGGAATAACCGAAGTCTTTCCCACACTATTTATATTCACCGGATTTTATTCATGAATCCTCTTATGCCTTCGTAAGGATGAGCCATCAACGAAGGCTTTCCCACATTCTTCACATTTATATGGTTTGTTTCCATTGTGCCTTTTCACATGTAATTGAAGGTTTTTGTTAGAATTGAAGGCTTTTCTACATTCCTTACATTTAAAGGGTTTTTCTCCAGTATGATTTCTTTCATGTGTTTGTAAGTTACTGTGATCTTTATAGGTTTTGCCACATTGTTTACATTCATAGGGTTTCTCTCCAGTATGAGTTCTTTCATGTCTTTGTAACAAACTAAGGCAAGTGAATGCCTTCCCACATTCCTTACACTGATAAGGTGTATTTCCAGTGTGCATTTTCATGTGTCCTTTAAGGGAGCTTGGATAACTGTAGGCTTTACCACAATGTTTACATTCATAGGATTTCTCTCCAGTGTGTAACTTTTTGTGTCTTTCTAAGGAACTGTAGTATCTAAATGTTCTTCCACATTCCTTACATTCATAGGGTTTTTCTCCTGTGTGAGTCATTTTGTGTGGCTCTAAGGATCTGAAATATTTGAAGGCCTTTCCACATATCCTACACACATATGGTTTCTCTTCAGTGTGAGTTCTTTCATGTCTTCGAAGACAACTCGGATACATGAATGCTTTACTACATTTTTCACATTGATAGGTCTTCTCTCCAGTGTGATACCTTTCATGATTTCGGTATGACCTAACCAGAGAGAATACTTTCCCACATTCCTTACACTGATAAGATGTATTTCCAGTGTGCATTTTCATGTGTCCTTTAAGGGAGCTGGGATAACTGTAGGCTTTACCACAATGTTTACATTCATAGGATTTCTCTCCAGTGTGAAACCTTTTGTGTATTTCTAAGGAACTGTAATGTCTGAAAGCTCTTCCACATTCCTTACATTCATATGGTTTTTCTGCCGTGTGGGTCATTTTATGTGGTTCTAAGGACTTGAAATATTTGAAGGCCTTTCCACATATCCTACATTCATATGGTTTCTCTGCACTGTGACTTCGTTCATGTACTTGAAGCTGACTGGGATGCCTGAATGTTTTACTACATTTTTTACAGTGATAAGCCTTCTCTCCACAGTGGGTTCTCTCACATGTTTGAAGAGAAGTTGAAGAACTAAAGGTTTTTGCACACACCTTACATTTATAAGGAGCATCTGCAGTATGCTTGATCACGTGTCTTTGAAGGATTTTGAGCCACATGAAAGTTTTCCCACATTCCTTACACTTATAGGGTTTCTCTCCATCATGAGTTCTTTCGTGATTTTCAAAGCACTGGAGATAACTAAAGGCTCTCCCACATATGTTACATTTATATGGCTTCTCTCCATATTTCTGATACTCAGAGAACTTTTGTCCAGTGTGATACCTGGTGTGCCTACTATGGGATGAATGATCCAGGAAGACTTTGTCAAACATTCTGCATTTACATGGTTTTCCTCCAGGAAGAGATTTCTTCTTCAGACTGAAATTTGGAATAAGGCTGTTTTCTCCACATTGACTAACTTTTTTCCCTTCACAGATTCTCTCCAACATATGATTTCTGTAAAAAACAAGAAATGCACCATAAATTATTTTTTTATTAGTGACTTTATATTTATTAGTAAAATATTTGAACTATATTATTATGATTTATAATGAAAATGTAGGTTTTTTTTGTTTTGCCTGAATTGTTTAAAACTTCATATACTGAAGGGTCTGCAAGACAAGTCTACCCTTGCTTTTATTTTTATTTTTAATATTTTGTTCAGATAGAGTGGGAGGGAGAGAGAGAGAGAGAAACATCAACGTGAAAGGGACACATTGAGTGGTTGCCACCCGCACGACCCAACCAGGGCCGGGGATAAACTGCAACCGAGGTACGTGCCCCTAGCGGGAACCGAACCCGGGTCTCTTCGGACCGCAGGCCAACGCTCTAACTGCTGAACCAAACTGGCCAGGGCTACCCTTGCTTTTAAAAAAGTGATATTCATATACAGGTTTTAACAATACCATTTCCTAATCTATTTCGGAAACACTGATTATTTATATCATATATAAGAAAGCAATTTGGTAAAATGCAATACATTTAAAGAATCAGTTGTTTTGGTTGTTTCTTTTTAAAATATCAGAGATAACTGGTTTTTCACATGACACACTGCTTTCTCTTGTGAGTGTAACTCACCTCCGTTTTTTCTTCTGGTTTCTGTACTGATCTTCCATGTTACGATCTTTCCATTTGTTACCTAAAGAGGCAGACCCAAAAAAATAATTTCAAAGTATCAGAAATTATTTAAAAATGAGTACATTCTACTTCTATGATGAGCTGTGACTATTTGTCAATGTCCTTCCTTCTCAAAGTACACATCTTAGAAAATGTTGATGTGTAAAAAACGCTTGTGCTCTAACCAACCCAATGAAGGGAAGTCATCATCCTTACCTATGGAGACCAGGTTCCTGAAGGTTTCCTTCATCACATCTCTGTAGAGTTTCTTCTGTGAAGGCTCCAGTAAGGCCCACTCCTCCAGACTGAAGTTCACAGCTACATCCTCAAAGGTCACTGAGTCCTAAAACACCCCAATATGTGCATAGTACAATGTGTGAGACTGACAGCCTGAACATGTATAATCCATTTATAAGAAGGTTACATATGATTATATCATCTCCAAACATTTATTTTATTACTTGATCAAGGAAACATTTTCTTTCCACACTTACTTCCTCATAAATGTCACACCATCATGAACACATGGAAATTATTTACACATTTTCACTGTGATCATATTGTATCATTATTTCTCTGTAGCAGGGTACAGAGCATGTTGAGAAAGGACAAAAATCTATACAAATGAAACAAACGTTATTATTTTAATAACATCAATGCCTTGTAAGAAAAATTCATTTAGCTCCTTTCTTATTATTTCCAATTTACAGCACTCCTAAGTCAGAATGTCAAATCTGCATTCAATGAATAAAATATACTAAAGAATTAGAAGCTTTCCAATCACTAAACCTGAGAATATGTGGCCTCTGGTAATCCAAGTTTTAACAAGGTGCAGCAGGCCAAATCTTCCTGAAATCCTACTTATGAAGAAATTATAAGTAATTAGATGCATGTGACTGAATGAAAATATTCTATGGAGAAACATTGCTTTTTCCTTGTGTAATATTTACCACAATTTTAATTCTTCATTTTAGTTCTTCTCTTTCTGTACTATTTGATGAGCTAAAATATTAGTCATGTGGCACTTAACAACAGACACACTGAGATACGTATTGTTAGATGAATTTGGCATTGTGGGAACATCATGCATGAACTTCGATGGTATACATTGCCTACGACACACCTAGGCTATGTGGTATAGCACACTGCTTATTACTGTACTGAATACTGTAGGCAATTGTAACACAAGGTTTCTAGATAATGCCTACCCTTTTGTCAATTTTAAGTTTCCTGTTGAGTAAAGGAGCATGATAATTCAACCCCTGGGCACAGAAATTGCTCAGCTAATGAAACCACACTTTGCCAATAGGGTATGAGAGGATTTAGGATTTCCATAATTGGGGTCTCTGGGGAAAGTCAGGCAGCCCTCTCAAGCAGGTATGAAATAGCTTAAGAGAACAAGAAAAGGTACATGGACTTGTTTTATTGAGTTTAGAAAGGACACTAAGGTGAGAATGCTTACACAATGTGGAGCTAGCTTGTAGTCAAATTCTTGCTACCCTACAGGGTGAAGCATTAAGTCTCTCTTGTCGCATCAGATAGATGTGAAGACAAAATGTCAGCAGTTAATCATCAATAACTGGAGCCAGAGATTTCAAGTTTCTGATCTGAAATTTAAGTAACTTAGAAGATGGCATTCTCCCAATTACATAAAAAAGCTCAAAAACTGGAAGTTAACTTCTTTTCTTAGATCCATAATATAATTTTGGTCACAGGGCAAGCTGGTGTTTTCAAAAACTGGAAAGAGAAAATGAACACAGTATTTTGAAATATGGCCCAAATATCCTGTTCTAAACACAACCAGTACTCAAAAAAAAAAAATCTATCTCAGTGAAGAATGACACAAAAACGACAGAAAACAAATAAGACAGAAGGCAATATCCATAAACCCTAGGTAAACCTGTTTTAAACAAAAAGTTGGAAAGCACATCATGGGAATATCCTTTTTTAAAAAAGAAAGATAGAAGTCAGTGCATAACCAATTAATTTTCATAATATTAATAACAGACAGCAACTGTCAATGCAAAAAGCACATGTGACACTAAACATGAGAAACAACGAAAGTGCACACCCAAGTTTCACACTGAACTAGAAAAAAATCAAAGACAAATAGAATGTATTAAAAGAAGCCAGAGGAGAAAACACCTTACATATACTAAACAAAAACAGAACTAAATCAAACGTCTCTTCAAAAACTATGCTCACGCCCTGGCCGGTTTGGCTCAGCGGTTAGAGCATCGGCCTGCGGTCCTGAGAGACCCGGGTTCGGTTCCCGCTAAGGGCATGTACCTCGGTTGCAGTTTGTCCCCGGCCCTGGTTGGATTGTGTGGGTGGCAACCACTTGATGTGTCCCTTTCACGTCGATGTTTCTCTCTCTCTCCCTCCCTCCCATTCTATCTGAACAAAATATTGAAAAATGTCCTCGGGTGAGGATAAAAAAAAAAAAAATGCTCGCAAGAAAGCAGTAAAATAATATATATCTAAAACTTTTGCAAGAAAAAAAAACACTCTCCTAGTATTCTGTGTTAAGCAAAATTATCCTTCAAAAGTACAGAAAAATAGAAATGTGAGATTAAAACCAATGGACTTTGTCATGAGTACACCTACTTTGAAAGAAAAATTCAAGAATTCATCAGAAAAAATGCAAATGATGATACTTGTCAATTAAAAATAAATGAAGGTAAAATACCTTTTGGATTTCTTATCAAAATTAAGATAACAGATGACACTTTGTTTAAAACAATGCAGACTTACATTTAAAAGTATAACAAAGGGCCCTGGCCGGTTTGGCTCAGCGGTTAGAGCGTCAGCCTGCAGTCCACAGAGACCCGGGTTCGGTTCCCGCTAAGGGCATGTACCTTGGCTGCAGTTTGTCCCCGGCTCTGGTTGGGTTGTGTGGGTGGCGGCCACTCGATGTGTCCCTTTCACATCGATGTTTCTCTCTCTTCCTCTCTCTCCTTCCCGCTCTATCTGAGTGAAAAGTGGAAAAATGTCCTCGGGTGAGGATAAAAAAAAAAAAAAGAAAAGAAAAAAAAAATAAATAAATAAAAGTATAACAAAGGGCCAATTCTCCAAGAAGAAATTGCAATTCTTCATATGTATATGCATAGTAGAGACTCAAACTATATAAGACAAAAAATATTCAAGAAATAGCCCAAGCACTAGTATAAGTTGTCAACTTCAACAACCCCTTATCGTAAATTTTTTTTTTTTTTTAATTTTTTTAATACTCACCGGAGGACATTTTTCCATTTTTTGTTCAGATAGAGTGGGAGGGAGAGAGAGGAAGAGAGAGAAACTTCGATGTGAAAGGGACACATCGAGTGGAGGCCACCCGCACAACCCAACCAGGGCTGGGGACAAACTGCAACCGAGGTACATGCCCTTAGCGGGAACTGAACCTGGGTCTCTCTGGACCACAGGCCGACACTCCAACCGCTGAGCCAAACCGGCCAGGGCATAAATTATTAATTCTAACAGAAAGAACATCACCAAGGACAGAGATAAACTCAACTGTGCCATGTAACAAATGGATTTCATGGTAATCTGTGAAATATGTCATCTGCAAGAGTGGAATACACATTCTTCTCAAGTCTACGTGAAACATTCACCAAGACAGAACACACCTTGAGACATAAACATACCTTAACAAATTATTAAGAACAGAAATCATACAAAATATGCTCTCACATCACAGAGGCATTCACCTAGAAATCAATGACTGGATTGTTGGAAAATCCATAAATGTGTGGTTCAAAAAGTCACTTCTGAGTAACACATGGAATCAAACAAGAAGTCTCTAGAGAAATAAAAAGTTATTTTGAACTCCACAAAATGAAAAGACAACATCAAAAGTTGTGGGACACAGCAAAAGCAATGACCAAGGGAAAATTTATACCAACAAAGAAATACACTAGCAAAAGGAAACATCGATCATCATTAGTGTGAGCATCCAACTTACAGAATTATAAAAGGAAGAACTAATAGACCAAAAGTAAGCAGAATAAGATAATAATAGCCCTGGCCGCTTTGGCTCAGTGGTTAGAGTGTCAGCCTGTGGACCAGAGAGTCCCGGGTTCGGTTCCCACTAAGGGCACGTACCTTGGTTGCAATTTGTCCCCGGCCCCAGTTGGGGTTGTGTGGGTGGCAGCCACTCGATGTGTCTCACTCACATCAATGTTTCTCTCTCTCTCCTTTCCTCTCTCCCTACCCCTCCCTCTCACTCTCCCACTCTATCAGAAGATAAATGCAAAAAAATGTCCTCGGGTGAGGATAAAAAAAAAAAAGATGATAATAAAAATTAGAAAAGTAATGTAATTGTGAAGAGTTGATGAGGAAAGTTCAAACAAAAATACCTACTTCTTTGACAATATTAATGACACTTATAAACAGCTATTAAACATAACTAAGAAAAGAAGGATGAAATTAAAACATAAAATCATGATTAGATTCCAAGGTGGCTGCAGAGTATGTAGAAGATACACTCATCTACTCCCAGCCCCAAACCAGATTTACAGCTAATTATAGAGCAATCAACGTGAATAACAAACTGAAAGCGAGCTAAACTGAAATATTATAACCAAGGATTTACAGAAGAAGCCACATAAAGACTGGTAAGAAGGACAAAGATGGGGAAAGGGCTGGCCCCCACACCCATGTGTGGTGCCTGAGAAGCAGGGGAGGTACCTCAGCTGAAAAACTCCCTTCCTTCAGGAGCATGGGGTCTCAGTGCCATGCAAATATCTCCAACCCAGAGCAAAAGAGATGGGAAGAGGAGCCCACATAGTATCTGGTAGTGAAAATCAATGAGGGTTTAGTCTGCCTGGGAGAGAAGGGAGTCTGCTGGAGACCGAGACACCATCTTCCCAGGGACGAGCACTCCTATTATTACAGCACCTGTCTAGGAAGTGCAGTGCCTGGTTCCCCGACTGCTGGTGAGGCCACTCTGCTGTTCTCTGGTCCTGCAGAGGGGGCTGCTGGAAACACTCAGCAGTGACATTCGGGGCACTCTTTTTCTGGGAAGGCTCTTGGTGGAGACTGAGACAGTGACTGAACTGTGTGGCTTTGGAAAGGTACCAGTTTCCCCCACCTCAAGAGCATAGTCAGTGCCCTACTCCACCTGTTGAATCACATGGCTGGTCCCATCCTGCTAAATTCAGTTGAGTAGGGAGATCAGAGCGTTGCACAGAGCTGGGACTTTCAAAGCGTGTCTCCCAGGGAGGCTTTTGTCTGGGAATCAGATGGGTGGGTGCTGGGCTGAATGGCTAAATCATGGGTGAGAAGGTCATTCCTATCTCCCCTGTAAGCATAGCCCATGCTATCCCAAGAAAATGGAAAAGTGCCCACTACCCTCCTACAGGCTTGCATGCACCCCCCCCCCCCAATGAAAGACTGTTTGGATCTGCTCTTCCAAGTCTCAGATACCTCACCCTGCTGAACTTTGTTCCACAGGGAAGAAGGGGAGCAGCTCAGAGCTAAGACATTCAGTGTGTGAGTTCCTTGGAGGCTGTTGTCTGGGACCAGGATGAAGTGCTTGGCTCCCTCCTGCTGGCTTGGCTGGCATCACCTCAATGAAAGACTTTTTTGATCTGTCCTCCTCAGCCCAGTGGCTATGCCCAGCTGAACTTGCTCCTGCAGAGGGGACTGAACTTGCTCCTGAATACAGCAGGCTGCATTCAACCTGAACCTGTGGCACACCCCTACTGAGGGAGGTAGAATTGGAGACTCTGGCAAAGACTGAATAGTTTGGTTCTGGAATAAGGGTTGCCTTCCCTTCATTGAGTCCCTGAGCGTGTGACCTCCCCAAGTCGGGGACCCACTAGCCACATCTTTCCAAAACTAGTTGCCCCACCCTACTTAGCTTGTGACCTATGAGTCTGGGGGTCATGGCCATACAAGCCCACTCTACAGTCTTTCTTTGGAAGGCTCTAGAAGAAGACCAGGCAACCTCAAAGGGAGGTAGAGTACCTGACAGGTAGAGGCAAACCTCAGGGTACTTCAGACCTTTTACAGATCTACCGCAGCTCTTCTCTGGAGGAAGCCAATCCTTGTACACAGATTGGTCCCTCTCACCCACATCCAGACCCAGCAGATGCAGCCACAAACAGTGAATAGCATGGTAGCTCCAGATAGGCAGCCCAAGGACAATTACACACAACATCTGATACTGACCTGTACCTAAATGCTGCCCAAGTGGACCCAGAACCAACACAACCAGTGGTGAGCTTCAGACTACACCAGAGTTCAACCTAACTAGCCAAGCAAGCAGCACACACCAAAGGGGGATTACAGCAGGCACCAGACCCTGCTGGAAAGAAGTCTACCTTGAGGGCGCATCCCTTGCACAGCAACTCATATACAATAATCAAGGTTTATCCTTATATTCAGTCAGTGTGATGGGTTAACTCAACCCACAAAAGGGCCAAAAGCATTCAAGATTCAACTACAATAGGAGGGTGCACATAACCCACAAGAAACATCCCTGGAGCATGGAGCTCAGGTGATCTGGAAGACTGTGCTACTGAGCCCAACAAGACACC